GTGGCTACCTTGTCCAAATGGCTAAACCATCCAAAAATAAAGAAAGGATCTCTTGTTATGGCCAACAAGTGTTTGTGGATTCCAGAATCAGAGTTAAAAGCAAAATAACAAATAAAGCCTACCCACGGTGAATAGGAAAGATTTATGATGATTTGTTTTCAATATCACAGTTGGTTTAAGAAAATGAAATTGAGGGGCACAATTGAGAAAGGCCATATTTTAAAAGCCCACAAAAGACAGGTATTGACATATTTGGGATGATAATATCAAGTTGTACCCCCATTAGACTTTTTTATTCTGAGATTAACATCCTCCCATAATCGTGCTAATGCAGTATTAGCAAGAACTGAAACTAGATATTCATGAAATATTTGTGGTAAGTTTCTTTCTGGAGCAAAATTTTTCATTAATTTTTTTTTACATATCTTATATCCATTGAAAAAATGTTTTGTAAGTAAGGAAAGACAAGTGACCTCCTCCATCAATTGATTAGAAGGGTACCTGTGAAATGTACACTACAAAGTAATGGATCTCTTTATGTAAGCACTTTGCTCCAGGATTGAAACATTGTCAAGTATTTAAATTTGTTCAAAGATTTTGAATATTAAATTACGGTCAGTTAGTCATCATAGTTAGCTGTAAGTGACAGGGAATAATTAGTTTCCCTGCTTGAAATTAATGGATTGGTTCATACCAAGGCAGAAGAAACAGCTACATATTGTGAGGTTATAGGTATAAAAGGGCTTCAGGGAAACTGGACTCATTCACACTGCAAAGATTTCAGGGATGATCCAAAGGTTCGAGGATCCTTGTCTGTGACTCAGGGACACACACAGACCATGTACAAAAACCCACCTAACACCTCTCCCCTTTTATCTCGTGTATGATGAATTAGTTGTGTTAAAATCCTTTCCATTTTAAAGGTATACTTTTGGTGAATTTGACAAGGTCCCCATTTAGATGAGTAATTACAATGTCATACCAAGTTAGGGGACAACAGGTTTAACACCTTATAAGGCAGCTGGCAGCTTCCTCTATTTAGAAAAACAGATGAATTTGGAGATTGGTTACTGATAACATTTAAGTTCCACACAAAAAAAATTGGATCTGAGACTATTTGCATGATACAGCTCACAGCTTGATTGGACTTTGCCATTATGACACATATTGACAGCAGTGGTGGTCACTTAAATCAACTTGAAGCATTTTCATCCATTATCGCATTTATTATTGATTGACCAAAGGATTCCAGTTAAAATGCGTGCTCCACATATAGCCAAAAGCAAAACAATTATACATTGTATTTTGTCCTTGTCTGACTTTAAATTTCAGGATTTTGTCTCCATAAATTCATATTTAACATATAATGTTTAAAAGTTTAAAGAAGGAGAAATCCATTTTTCATTACCATGTAAACATTGTCAAAAATTTCTTTAATGAAAATATTTTTTCTTTTAAATTACGGACAAAATGATGGATAAAAAAAAATTAATAGGAGCTTTCAACATAATTTACATGAAATTTTGACAAGCAACTTATAACATCATTAAAGATCAAAAGGCTATAAAAGTGGAAACTTGTTTGGGAGAAGAAAATTTAATGAGATGTGAAAATATTTAAAGAAAGCCAGGAGCACTTAGCTACTTTTGACATTCTCCTGGTAACTCCCTCTGCTTCATTTATCTAGGAGTTTTCAGATATTTGTTAAAATTGCCTGCTTGATTTACTGTTAATGAAAATTAAGTCTAAATGACAGGCCCTCTAGAAGAGGGCTTAGTCCCATTGATAGCAAACTTGGTCTAACTGCTGGACAAGGATTGTCCGCTCATAATTGGGTGGAAAATCTGCAGGTTAGTTTATTTTGTGTCTGCTGATAGGAGGTAGATTTATCAAAACAATCACACAAAACATCATTGTGTTAGCACCACGGGATAACTATATTTAGACATTTGATTCTTCGTGTTATGGGATTCCGGGGTTGGTACAGATCAAGTCTCAGCCTCTGGCGATCGATTAAAAAGGGGAGTTAACTCTGTTATACCAAGGTCAAGTGCTTACTTTTGTTTGATGTCTTTCATTTCACTGACTAGAGAGATTTTAAAAGTTGATCTGTGCTTCAGGATTTATTTCATTTTTGAGGTCTGTATAAAATTTAAACAGCTAAATACTAAAGATAGAAAATTAAGATCTCAAGCATTTTCTTCCTTTAATGTATGTTAGGTCTCAGGATCAATTCTTAAATTACTTTAAAACTGTAAAAACACATAAAAAAAATAAGTTATTCTTTTAAGACATATAGAATAATTTTGTGAATAAAAGAAGTAAGCTGTATTGGTGAGGAAAACATAGGATTTTAAATGATCTAATTACTTTTAGTCTATAATGAATGTCAATAAAATCTTTATCTTAAATTAATTTTTGTTTGCATTATACATGTACTTTTGAGTAATATAATGTAATGGAGTTGTATAAAGTGTTTGATTAAGATATGGCAGTCTGAGATCATTAAACATGCAAGATTAAATAGCTCTGACTTTGCCCATGTTTGCATGAATTCATAAGATGTGGTCTAATATAACAATTTCTTTAATTTAAACACACATAATTTAAACATAATCCTTAATCCCTGCCTTTTCTTGGTTTGCATCTGTTAGGAATTGGGAGATTATCACACAAACATTAGATGTGTATAAAGTATTGGTCATCCAGGCATTAATCTCATTCAAAATCAAAGGGAAATAACTGACACCAAATAGAATAGCAAGATCAAAGAGGTGAAATGTTGGTATTAAAGCCCTCTGGTCATAAGAAAACATGATTCCTATCTAGTATAGAGAATGTGTGAAAATGAGATTTAAGTATTTCAGTAATTAAAACACAGTTAAACTGATACCACTGTCAACAAGCCCAAAGGTAAAACTTCATTTCCTGTAAAAACATGCACAAGTACTGTTAGGGAATATACATGTATAACAGTTACTCTTCCCAGTGAATTAATTTGAATTCAATAGAAAAAAATCTAAATATAAATTTCTGAATACTTGTATAATGTATACAAGAGTCAAAGAGAGAGAGAGAGAGTTATGTAGATGCAATTAGAGATATAGAGGACATATTAACTGAACGACAAAATAAATCTCATGTTAAAAACTTATCAGTTTAAAGTATAGGTAAATTGTGTATTACAAATATTTTCAATTAAAGACATCATTCAGAAGTCTTTTTATTATGTGTTTTACACATTATAAGTATAATTTACCCCAGTATACCTGTATATTATATATATTGATGGGTGTTTCTCTGTGTTATTTGGGTGTAGTTTGTGTATTCTTTTGAGGACTTTTGTTTGTAGTTAATAGATAGTACCATTTTGTTCATCACCTTGGTACAAATGACAATGGGGTAACTTTAATGTTTCACTGAGTGTTTGTCTGTAATAAATTACCACCAGGGGGCCAAACATTGTCACTAATGGCCATTACTGTAACCCTGTGATTGATACATCATAAGGCCTCCCAAATGGACTAAGGGGGGACCACTACACCCCAGTTCACACATTGTCACACTAAACATCAACCCATTACAAAATATTGTCCAGTTACACCCATTTATCACACTAATGGTTGCATGATCACAAGGCTTAGTCATTTGAAGAAATTTGGCCAGGTTGCAAGTGGACTGCAGACTTTCTCTTGGACTGCAGACTTTCTCTCAAAGACCCTTTGCAGTCTGTCTAGTCTATATAGAAATTCCATCTGCTTTGACCAGCGTGTTAATCAGATGTCCAGTTCAATTGTGTCCTTAATAAGAATTACAAGACCATCTGAGATATTTCTAGTGGCCAATTTGGAAAAATCAATAAGGATGTCCAGCCTGGGACTAAGATAGCAACAGATTTCTCATCTCAAAGTGAGAGGGTAATTCTTATTGGTCATTGATTCTGTTGTCACTGATTAACTTAATTATCTTATAAATATTTAATGAACATTTCTATTGTTCTGTGCAATATGTTACATATTGACTTATGTGTGTTGCACAACTACCAATTACTTACAATTACTTAATCTTATTCACAGGTATATGTCCAAATTATTTTTTCTTTGATTAAATTAATCAATTTCATTTTAAATTGAAATTGGTTAATTTAACAAGAAGCTCTGGATATAAATTGCATTGTTATCAGCTTTTAAAGGAAATTCATAAGATAGGAATTTTCAATGTTGTTGCATTGTTCAATATTTTCAGCCCTGTCTGTTTTATAAACAATGTGACATGTGTATGCCACTTTATGTTATAAATCACCTAGAAAAAGCAATCCTTTAAGCCCAGTACAGCCTGATGAAGTCGTATTAATTTAATAATTCAGTCAATAAGAGTGCTTTTGGCAGCAGTATTTTGTTTTTATTGGAAGTCCATTAAGTGCCTGAAGTTTGAGTGAAGGAGATTTCATGTAAAATACAGGCATCTTAATATTTAAGTTTTTATAAGGTATTGGGTAAATGATTGTTGAAATATTATTAAATTGCTTGAGCTCTCCTAAAATTTAAAGAGTTTTAGTATTATTATCCCTTTTTATATCTATTTAGTCATTTTGGAACTTTTTAAACATAATTTTATTAGTCCACTATAAAAATTGAAATATGTTTGCAGCAAGAAGGAAAAAGAATAGAATTTAAAAATTAAAAGATTGAACTAAACAGAACATAATTAAATTTTTACCATATTGGTGAAAAATAAGTTAAAAGCAATCTTTTCTTTTAGCAGTATTTCCAGAAAATTTAAGTAATAAAAGATAAATTTAGTGTTTAATTTTTACATGCCTTAAGGTTCAAATCAAATTCACTTGAAATTTATCTTTGAAGTGGACAAAAATGTGTAAAATGTTTTGTATAATGTGATAATTCCTGGTGTTAATTGTTTTAATATAATTCATGGTCCTCTGATTGTGTGAGTTATTTATAAGGTCTAAAATTAGATTACTTATAACCTGTGGCCACAGGTATGGAATATATTTCTCACCTGGTCAGTAACAGAATTTACATGCAGTGGTTAATTGCTTGGTAAATAAAACACTTTGGACAATTGAAGGTAAAATCTTCCCCACATTTAAGCTTTTATTTAGAATGTTAACAACAGATTTTTCATACCTTTTGTTGTCCAATTTGAAAATATTGACAAATGAACCTGTGAAAGGGGAGGGCTTTAAATCTGAGCTTTCTGTTTTGGTCAGTGGAGTGATCCTCTAGAGTGGGAGAACGGTGGGGTGTTTTTACTTGTGAGGGTCGGCTATTTACTGTAGTGTTTGTAGTTCTAAGGACAAGTGGTTTCAAGGGTCTGGGAGATTCCGTAAGATTTGGTAAGTCTATATGAAACTATTTATTTTTAAGAAAAATCACTATGTTCCTATAAATATATCATGCTCTGACATTTCTTCTGTGGTCCATGAGGCAGGTAAGCTGAATAATTAATTCAAGATATATATATATATATATATATATATATATATATATATATATATATATATATATATATATATATATATATATATATATATATATATATATATATCCAGTTAACTTCCTATAATATTCAGTATTAAACATATATTATTAACAAAATAAATTCAGAGTGTTAAAAATTTTGCACACAAATTCTAGTACTGTTTATCTTTGTTAGATATATTGGCTATAAAATACTGTAGAAGCAGAAATTTTTTATTGAGATAAAATTTAATTGTTGATTTGTGATTTAAATTGGTTTCAAGGGTATTCAATTTCTTTGTTTCAAAAGTAACCATACTCGATATAAACCATATAAAAATTTCGTTTAGGATTAAATTTTGTAACTATAATAAAACAACAAATTTTTCTACTTTTACAGTATTTCTTTGGTCATTATTTTTGTTTAAAAATACATGAAAATATTTTGTTTAACTTTAGAAATATTTTTTATTAAATGTGCAATAAATGAACTCTGAACAATGCAGCTTTTTGAAATTATAAAAGAAATTAACATTTCAAATTCTAGATAGGTAATTTTGATATCTAACAGAATAATTGTTACAAATTAAGCTACATTTCTTGATCTAAAATTATGAGCTTAATATGAGATGGGAATATTTTCAACTTTTAAAAAATAATTCAGTTTAGAAATTAACAAAGGAATCTGAAGTGTTCAATGGTATACTAGTATGTTTTGTGTGTATATGACAATTTCTTTAGACATTAGTTTCATGGAGGATGTTTTGGTCTGGATTTTTGGTCCCCGGAGGATGTTTGTCCCCCTCACAGCTTACCTGTCCGTTATCTACATCATTACCTTTCATCAAGGTAAACAACCCCCGGCCTTCAAAGCTCCCTCTCTGATGGGGTGCCAGGTAGTTATCAGTTATAGAGGAAAACTTCCATCTATTCCCTGATAAAAACTCCTGTAATATGTAATAATACCAACCTGTCTCCGTGATATATTGGAAGGAGGAATATATAAAGACCCTGTAGCTTTTTATGGTTGCTGATGTGTAAAATCACATCCCAAATTTGTATATTGTGATCAGCTTTAACAATAATCAGAGTAAAAGAGACCCTGTATTAAATCTAATTTATTCTTTGTGTAGGACTTGTCGGCTTCATGTATAAGGCAGAGGTCCTTTAATCTCTGCTCAGTCTATTTGACCAGTAAATATTGTTCCCTCCTCTCTTGAAAAATTTCTTATTACATGATATTGACACATTTTATATTGAAAGTGACACCCGCATAGAGAGATGAGAAACACCGACTAATCGTTGGTTGTTCAGGAGTGATAGGGATTGGGTTGGTATGTCTCTCACAAAGTAAACGGAAAGATGTTTGGTTGTTACTTTGTCGTATAAATTTAGGATGTTTGGGAGATTCAGAGCAGGGTTTGTCTTCTGGTGACAAGGGTCCTCACTGCTATGTATTCTGGCGTGCAGGTTTTCCCTCTGTTTGGATATTTTATCCCCTGGTCGCACACTGTAGTAACCTATACTCAACATATACATTGACAGAGGTTATAGTTAAGCTTGTTATAGGCGTGAATCAGACCTCTTTGATACCCTCGAAAGGTTTTCTATTTTCGCTCTGTGTGCAAGTGATATTCCTTATCTTATCATCAAATATTACATGGTATTCTCTCAAAACAATGCGTATTACTAACTCTGCATCGTATTTCACGTTGCTGCCATTAATGACTATTATTTTACTTTTTTGTGCATGGATACATTTTTTCCCTTTTCATGTTTATAACAGACAATATATAGGACAGAATTTGTGTATGTAATTTAGCTTACGGTGACTAATCACCTTCTAATTTTACAGGTAACCTCAAGGGAATGGACAGTTGGTGAGACTGTATCTCCTAGAATTTCGTAGATGAAATGAGCAGCTCATGAGCCAGGGATAAATAGGGACCACGCTGAGGTTTAGAATTTTATTTCGAGATGGCAGCGGTTGTATCTATGTACCTTTTCCTAATGGCTGTATTTACAGTCTCCTGTGAAATAATTGTGAATTTGAATATAAGAGAAGAGAAACCTGTGTCAACTCTGGTTGGAAATATAGCTAGCTTGAGTAACCTGACGAGAAAAATGACACCAGAAGCTTTCCAGAGTCTGCGGTACAGCTTCTTGGATCAAACCAAAGGAGATGATCTCTTCCGTGTTGACAATGAGGCTGGTGATTTGTTTACTAATGCAGTGATTGACAGAGAGAATGAATGTGGATTCAACCAGGAATGTGTTTTCCAATTTGACATTGCAGCCCACTCTTCCATTCACTCTAGATTTGAAATAATATCAGTGAGAGTGACTCTTTTGGACATTAATGATCATACTCCCATTTTTCCTTCTTCAGTTGTGAACAAGAGTTTGTCAGAGTCTGCAGTGATTGGGTCCACCATACAAGTGGATGAGGCATCAGATCTTGACTCTTCAGCTCTGAATGGAATCAAAAGCTACTCCATGCTCACTACTGATTCTCCATTCCTGTTCAATGCCTCTAAAGTAAGTGATGGATTCACTCTCCAGTTGAAACTGAATTCAGCTATAAACAGAGAGAAAAAGGATAATTATGAATTGAAGATTATAGCAGTAGATGGTGGGTCCACTCCCAGGACTGGAACTCTGACCATAAAAATAGAAGTAACCGATGAGAATGACAATGCCCCACAATTTGAGAGACAAGTTTTTGATGTCAGTTTGAGGGAGGACAGGGATGTGGGCTTCCAGGTGATCCAGCTCTCAGCAACAGATGCAGATATCGGGCAAAATGGACAAATCACATATAAATTCAATCCTCGACAAAGTTTCATAGCAGAAATCAGTCAATACTTTGCAATCAATGAAACTACTGGAAAAATTAATTTGAAAAACAAGCTGTCACAAAACACCAGAAAAAATTACAACATAACCGTGGATGCCAGTGACTTAGGACAACCTCCAAAAGTTTCCCAGTGTGTGGTTCGTGTTTCTATAATTGATGTTGGAAACAACCGGCCATTGGTTCGGATTACTTTATTATCTACAGGCAACACTGGAGCAGTGAGCGAGTCCTCTAGTGTTGGTACAGTGATAGCGCATGTGACTGTAGAAGACACTGACTCTGGTTCTAATGGTATTGTCACCTGTAAAATTCTTTCTGAGGAGTTTCAGCTACAAACTGTATTAAATAAGGGTTACATTGTGGTCATCAACAAATCCCTGGACCGTGAAATCTCAGACAAGTACAATCTCACTGTGGAATGCATTGATCAAGGAAATCCACCACTATCCACATCTTCAACATTAGTGGTTCCAATTTCAGATGAAAATGACAATGCTCCTGAGTTTTACAAGAATATATATCAAGCATCTATCAGGGAAAATAATGCTTTTGGAGATGGAATCACCCAAGTTCTTGCCAGAGATCAAGATGTTGGAAAGAATGCTGAAATAAAATATATTTTATCCCCTGAATCAAAGGAAAAATTGGCCATTAATGAAGAAACTGGAGTCATCACAGCAAACTTTAGGTTTGACAGAGAAAACATGTCATCATATTTCTTTCACATCCTGGCAGTTGATAAAGGGAGCCCTTCTATGACTGGAACTGCTACAATTCATCTAACAGTGGTGGATGCAAATGACAACAAGCCAACATTTAGTGTTCCTGTATTTCAGTTTTTTGTGATGGAGAACATGGGACCTCAACTTAAAGTAGGCTCTCTCAGTGCCACTGACCTTGATGAAGGTGACAATCAAAAAATTCTTTTTGATTTCCACCCAAATTTCAAAAATCTTCCCAGCAGTCAACTGCCATTTGAGGTTCTACCATCAGGGATAATATCTACAAAGAGAGATCTAGATAGAGAGGATAGAAGCAAGTATTCATTTGATTTAGTGGCTGTAGATCAGGGAACGCCAAGATTAACCAGCACAAGTAGAGTCATTGTGTATGTAGCTGACCAAAATGACAACAAACCTTTTATCACCTTCCCATTGTTTTCTAACCAGACTGTCACAGTGTCTTATCAAGCTAATGTTGGTACAGTGATCACTCAGATTCGAGCTTATGACCTGGATGAAACTGGACCAAACAGTCAACTCAGGTACTCCATCTCAGCTGGCAATGAGAAGGATATCTTTTCTATTGGAGAAACCTCAGGCACCATCTACCTCAAGAGAACTTATGAAATAACTGAAAATACTCCATTTAAGCTCAGGATTAATGTCAGTGATATGAATGTCTCTCATATGAAGTCTTCATTCCGTGACATGACCATCGTTTTAACTCTTCCCACCGCAAGTTCTCAGGCTTTAGAAGATGGAGGAACAAAGAATATCATCATCACCATTGCTGTTGTTGCTCTCACCATCATCCTCTCAGCTGTCATCATCACTGTCATCATCATTCTACGACGCAATGACCAGAAACTGCTCAAAAGCAAACGCTCAGATGACATAGTAAAAACAATGTATGATCCTGCCACTCCTGGGGACTGCTCATCCCCAAATCTGGAAAAGAACCCCAGTGACATGGTGTCCAGCATTGTAGACACACCCCGCAAGAAAAAAGAAGTCAGCTTCACTTTTGAAATGGAAAATATGCAGCTATTTCAGGGAAGCCAAAGAAGTCAGGAACAGGTGTGTTTCACATACAAATTGTAATCACATTTCTTCTTTAATGTAGTTAAACATAATTATATACAAAAGTTAAATTGATTCATTAATTTCCTTTACATCCTATAGTCACAATGGAATTTGAGAATGATTTAAAATCAAATATTTATGTTTTTTTAGAGAGACGAAATTTCTAACAGCAGGCAAAATAATATGAAAGCCCTCAATTCATCACTCCTAAACAACCTTGGAGGATCCCATAATCAGGTAATTAACAATTATTAATAATGAACTAGAAACTCATTGCGAGCAATGAGAGGTCTCCCGTCCGATTTTGAAAATAAAAACGTAAATTCAAGCTGAAAAGGTGATAAAAGAAATTCAGACACTCTGGAGATTTAACCCTGGTTGTCAGCGTGAAAATCCAACGTGCTAACCATTAACTTTTTTGCATCACTTCCTGTCACGACCAGAAGTAACGGCGATATAAGATTTCCTCGCGATTCAAATAAACTGATGACTGACTATCAGTTCTGAAAGTTTTAGACTTCAGTCGTTTACTGTTGCCGAACAATATTGTGAGAACAAACTATAATTCTGAGGACAGGTAAACACGCGATCGGAAGTGAATTTTATAAAAAAAAAATCTCTGACGTTTCTCTATACATTTGCAGTATCTACAAAATGCATAAAAACATTTCAAGTACTTTATCAATAAGCAATATTTATGAGAAAGTTAAATATCGAAATAACGTAGTTTATCAGCTAAAACGGAAGTTGACGTTTTTGTTTCCGGTGGAATCTAACATATTTCAAAACAGCGAAAGAGATGCAATTAAGTGATGCAAACTTTAATTTAAAAAAGAAAAGTTAAAATTTTTGATTTCTTTGATCACTTCCTGTGACGACCGGAAGTTACGACGAACGCGTTTAACCAAAATGCTTTTGCCTACTCCTAAAGGTCTGCTACTTATAAAAATTTGGTGTTTTAATCTTTTACCTGTTTTTGAGATCTCGCTCAGACAATTTTTCATTTTGATGACAGAAAAACACGTGACCGGAAGTGAATTTTTGAAAGATATTTGAAGTTACTTTAGACATTTGCAGTCTGAATAACATATTTCAAATTCATTCCAAATACGTTATCTATAAAGAATATTTTTATGACAGTAAAATACTCAAATTTTGCAGTTTTTCTCTTATAACCGGAAGTTGTCGTTTTTCTTTCCGGTGGGACCAACATCTTTCGAATCTGCAAAAACGATGCAATAAAGTGATGCAATTTTTAAATAAAAAAAGAAAAGTTGAAATTTTCGATTTCTTTGGTCACTTCCTGTGACGACCGGAAGTGACGGCTGACGCTTTGAACCCAAGTGGTTTTGGCTACATCTTAAGGTCTGTTGCTCATATAAGTCTGGTGTCGTAATCTCTTACCGTTTCAGAGATCTTGCTCAGACAACTTCTCATTTTGAGGACAGAAAAACAAGCGACCGGAAGTAAATTTTTGAAAGATATTTGGGGTTACTCTAGACATTTGCTGTCTGTATAACATATTTTAAGATCATTCCAAATACTTTATCTACAAAAGATATTAATGGGAAAGAAAACTACTCAAATTATGTAGTTTTTCTTTTATAACCGGAAGTTGACGTTTCTGTTTCCGGTGGGACCAACATATTTCAGAACTACAAAAGAGATGCAATAATGTGATGTAAGAATTGATTTAAGAAAGGAAAGTTGAAATTTAACGATTTCTTTGATCACTTCCGCAAGCGACCGGAAGTGCCGACGACGAACGAAAAGGTGCCCTCTCCAATCTAGAAATCATGTTCTATCATCTCTAACAAGTCTCCAGTTAATATCTTAAGCCATTCTTGAGAACACTCGCGGACAAAATGTCATTTTAAAATCAGAAAATTGTCCATAACTTGACACTGGAACCGAATTTACCAAAAAACGGAATTTTATATAAAATTCATATAAAGACCTTTTATCCCTGAAAATTTCAAGGAAATTCATTGAATAGTTTTCGAGAAATCGCGTGCACAAAATTTTGTCTAAAAAAAAAAGAATAATAATAATAACTAGAAACTCATTACTAGTAATGAGAAGGTCTTCCGTTATACGACTTCCTGTTTGCATGAACATGTCTTTTCCAACGTCGGTATTAGCCTAAAACTTATGTAGAAACCAAATAACTTAAAATATACTTTTTTGCTTCGTTTCCTCTCACGACCGGAAGTAATGACGACACACGATTTTTACACCAAGCAAATGAACTGATGACTGACTATAAGTCCTGAAAGTTTTAGAGTTCAGTCTTTTACTGTTGCCGAACAATTGTGAGAACAAATTCTAATTTTGAGGACAAGAAAACACACGACCGGAAGTGAACTGAATAAAAATCTCTGAATTTTCTCTTGACTTTTGCAGTATCTACAGCATATGTAAAAAAAAAAAAAAAAAAAAAAAAAAAAAACATTTCAATTACTTATCTATAAGTGATATTTATGAGAAAGCTAAACCACGAAATAACGTAGTTTATCTTTTAAAACCGGAAGTTTAAAGTTTTTTTCCGGTGGAATTTAACATATTTTAAAACAGCGAAAGGGAAGCAATAAAGTGATGAAAATTTTAATTTTAAAAAGAAAAGTTGAAATTTTCGATTTCTTCGATCACTTCCTGTGATGACCGGAAATGACGGCTGACGCTTTTAACCCTATGTGTTTTGCCTTCTCACCAAGTTTTATTACTCCTACAAGTTTGGTGTTTTACTTTCATGCCGTTTCCGAGATCTCGCTGAAATAACTTTTCATTTTGTGGACAAGAAAACACGCGACCGGAAGTGAATTTTATTAAGATATTTCATGTCAATCTAGACAACTGCAGTCTCAATAACATATATAAAAATCATTTAAAGAACTCTATCTATAAGCGATATGTTGGGGGAAATTCAAAACCCCTATTATGTAGTTTTTCTCTTAAAACCGAAAGTTGTCGTTTTTTGTTTCCGGTGGAACCAAGACATCTCGTAACTGTGAAAAAGATACAATTATATGATGCAAGTCTTATTTCAAAAGAGAAAATTTGAAATTTTCGATTTCTTTGATCACTTCCTGTGACGACCGGAAGTGACGACTGACGCTCTTAAGCTAAATTGTTTTGTCTACTTCTCAAGGTTTAATACTCTTATCAGTTTGGTGTCTAAATCTCTTACCGTTTCTGAGATCTCACTCGGACAAGTTCTCATTTTGCGGACATTTAAACGCGCGACCGGAAGTGAATTTTACAAAGATATTTGACGTTACTCTAGACATTTGCAGTCTTGATAACATATTCAAAAATCAGTTCAAATACATTATGTATAAAAAAATATTTATGGGAAAGTAAAATACTCAAATTATGCAGTTTTTCACTTATAGCCGGAAGTTGACGTTTTTGGTTCCGGTAAGACTAACATATTTCGAATCTACAAATAAGATGCAACAATGTAATGAAAGAAAAAAATCAAAAAAGAAAAGTTGAAAATTTCGATTTCTTTGATCACTTCCTGTGACGACCGGAAGTGACGGCTGACGCTCTTAACCCAAATGGTTTTGCCTACTCCTCAAGATCTATTAACCGTATAGGTTTGGTGTCTTAATCTCTTACCTTTTCTGAGATATGACTGGGACAAAATATTTTTGAAAAAAACGGAAATCGGACATATCTGACGACCGGAAGTGAATTTTGAAAAAATGAAAAAAACGCCTAGGGGTATTTTCATTCTCTATCATCCCTGAAAATTTCAAGAAAATCCGTCCAGCCATCTCTGAGAAAACGCTCCGACAAGAAAAGGGGAAAAAAAAAATAATAATAAAAAGAAACAGTAGAATCACTATAAGGTCTTCCGTCTGAAACGGAAGACCTTAACTAGATGAGATCTCGTTGCGAGCAACGAGTGGGTCTTCCGTCCGATTTTTGATAAGATGAGATAAGAATTTGACTGGGATTTTTGTTCAAATATAATAATATAAATAAATTGTTAAGACGAACAATTTTGCTTTAATAATGTTTAACAAAATATTTATCATTAAAGGGTTATAGATTAAAGACTTTCAGCCCTTCTTGGCCCCTAATGTGAGAGGTCAGCCCCTTTTTCTTGATATCATCTTAAAGCTCTCATGATTTTTAACACTTTTTGTTCAACAACTATTCAGAAATTCTTTTTTGTTTTCGGGATATATGCAAAAGAAATATTAAGGGCCGGCCCTTCAAGTCCTAAATGGGGACGTCTAGCAAAAATTCCAAGAGTGCATATTGTTCAGAATATTATTTGAACGTCTTCTGTTCAATACTGTTTATCAGAATATCCTTCCTTTTCAAGACATATTGCGCCAAGGATTATGCAATTTGGCCCCCTAGAGACCCCTTTTTTCGTAACATATGATATCAACATCATGTTATTTAGATGAAGTGTGTGAAGAAGAACTATTTCGCTTCAGTAATATATTACAAAATATTGATCATTAAAGAGTTGTTGATTGTATACTTTCGGCGCCTCTCGGCCCCTTATTTAAGGGGTCAGACCCTTTTCCTTGATATTACCTTAAAGCTCTCATGATTTTTTACACTTTTTGTTCAACAACTAGTCAGAAATTCTTTTTCATTTCTGAGATATTCGCAAAAGAAGTATTTAGGGGCCGGCCCTTCAACTCCTTAATGGGGACGTTTAGCAAAAAATGAAAGGTTGCATCTTGTTTAGAACATTATTTTGGACATCTTTTGTTTAATATTGCTTATCAAAATATTTCCCACTTTTGAGATATGAAGCGTCAAAGATTTAGCATTCTGGCCCCTTATGGCCCCTAATTATGTAACATTTGATGTAAATATCATAATATATAGTCGTACATTGTTGAGATAAACATTTTTGCTTCAGTAATGCATTACAAAATATTGATCGTTAAAGAGTTATTGTTCAAAGACTTTCGGCCCCTCTCAGCCCCTATTTTGAGGGTCCAGCCCCTTTTTCTTCATATCACTTTAAAGCTCTCATGATTTTGAACACTTTTTGTTCAACAGCTAGTCAGAAATTCTTTTTCGTTTCTGAGATATTTGCAAAAGAAGTATTTAGGGGCCGGCCCTTCAACTCCTTAATGGGGACGTTTAGCAAAAAATGAAAGGTTGCATCTTGTTTAGAACATTATTTTGGACATCTTTTGTTCAGTAATGCTTATCAAAATATTTCCCACTTTTGAGATATAAAGCGTCAAAGATTTAGCATTCTGGCCCCTTATGGCCCCTAATCATGTAACATATGATGTGAATATCATAATATATAGTTGTAAATTGTTATGATAAACATTTTTGCTTCAGTAACGCATTACAAAATATTGATCGTTAAAGAGCTATTATTCAAAGACTTTTGGCCCCTCTCAGCCCCTATTGTGAGGGTCCAGCCCCTTTTTCTTCATATCACTCTAAAGCTCTCATGATTTTGAACACTTTTTGTTCAAAAACTAGTCAGAAATTCTTTTTCGTTTCTGAGATATTTGCAAAAGAAGTATTTAGGGGCCAGCCCTTCAACTCCTTAATGGGGACGTTTAGCAAAAAATGAAAGGCTGCAACTTGTTAAGAACATTATTTTGGACATCTTCTGATCAATATTGCTTATCAAAATATTTCCCACTTTCGAGATATAAAGCGTCAAAGATTTAGCATTCTGGCCCCTTATGACCCCTAATTATGTAACAAATGATGTGAATATCATAATATATAGTTGTAAATTGTTGAGATAAACATTTTTGTTTCAGTAATGCATTACAAAATATTGATCGTTCAAGAGTTATTGCTTAAAGACTTTCGGCCCTTCTCAGCCCCTAATGTGATGAGTCAGCCCTTTTTCTTTGATATCATATAAAAGATCTTGTAATTCTACACAATTTCTGTTCAATATGCTTTAACAAAATACTCATAGTTAAGAAGTTATCGTAAGAAATGCCTCTAAAATTCACTCATGATTCGTTTCCTAAATTTTGACCCCTACCGAGCTTCCATACTAGGCACTTCCGGAAGATTTGAAAACCTAGGTGATCAATGGCAACATGTCCTCTATCATCGCTGAAAATTTCAACACTCTAGCTTTAATCGTTTTTGAGTTCCATTGCAGACAAGGAGGTCCTCTGAATTTTGATTAAAGGGCGATAACTTCCGACCGGAAGTAGATTTCAACAAAATGAGAAAAACGTATAAGGTTCAGATAAAGATACATCTTCCCTGAAATTTTCAAGTAAATCGATCGAGCCAACTCCGAGAAATCTTCTGCACAAAAATTGTAAAGAAAAAAAAAGAATAATAATAATAATAAAAGTGAAAAAGAAACAATAGAATAATAGAAGGGTCTTCCGTTGGAGACGGAAGACCCTAATAATAATAACTAGAAACTCATTGCGAGCAATGAGAGGTCTTCCGTCCGATTCTGAAAATAAAAACGAAAATTCAAGCTGAAAAAGAGATAAAAGAAATTCAGACACTCTGGAAATTTAACCCTGGTCATCAGCGTGAAAATCCAACTTGCTAACGTTAACCATTCATTTTTTACATCACTTCCGGTCACGACCGGAAGTACCAGAAGAAACGGGGATACAAGATTTTCTCACGATTCATATAACTGATGACTGACCATCAGTCCTGAAAGTTTTAGACTTCAGTCGTTTACTGTTGCCTAGCAATATTGTGGGATCAAATTCTAATTTTGAGGACAGGTAAACACGAGACCGGAAGTGAATTTTATAAAAAAATCTTTGACTTTTCTCTAGACATTTGCAATATATACAACATACATAAAGTCATTTCAAGTACTTTATCGATGAGCAATATTTATGAGAAAGTTAAATATCAAAGTAAAGTAGTTTATCTCCTAAAACCGGAAGTTGACGTTTTTGTTTCCGGTGGAATCTAACATATTTCAAAACAGCGAAAGAGATGCAATAAAGTGATGCAAGCATTAATTTAAAAAAGAAAAGTTAATTTTTTTTAGATTTCTTTGATCACTTACTGTGACAAGCGGAAGTGACGACTGACGCGTTTAACCCAAATGGTTTTGCCTACTCCTCAAGGTCTATTACTTATAAAAGTTTGGTGTTTTAATTTTTTACCTGGTTTTGAGATCTCGCTCAGACAACTTCACATTTTGAGGACAGGAAAACCTGCGACCGGAAGTGAATTTTTGAAAGATATTTACGATTACTCTAGACATTTGCAGTCTGAATAACATATTTAAAATTCATTTCAAATACTTTTTCTAGAAAAAATATTGATGGAAAAGTAAAATACTCAAATTATGTAGTTTTTCTCTTATAACCGGAAGTTGTCGCTTTTGTTTCCGGTGAGACCAAAATCTTTCGAATCTGCGAAAAAGATGCAATAAAGTGATGCAATTTTTAATTAAAAAAAGAAAAGTTGAAATTTTCGATTTCTTTGATCACTTCCTGTGACGACCGGAAGTGACGGCTGACGCTTTGAACCCAAATGGTTTTGCCTACATCTTAAGGTCTGTTGCTCATATAAGTTTGGTGTCTTAATCTCTCAACGTTTCCGAGATCTTGCTGAGACAACTTCTCATTTTGAGGACAGGAAAACACGCGACCGGAAGTGAATTTTACAAAGATATTTGAAGTTACTCTAGATATCTGCAGTTTGAATAACATATTTAAAATTCATTTCAAAAACTTTATCTACAAAGGATATTAATGGGAAAGAAAAATACTAAAATTATGTAGTTTTTTTCTTGTAACCGGAAGTTGTCGTTTTTGTTTCCGGTGGGACCAACATATTTCGAAACTACAAAAGAGATGCAATAATGTGATGTAAGTATTGATTTAAAAAAAGAAAGTTGAAATTTTATGATTTCTTTGATCACTTCCGTAAACGACCGGAAGTGCCGACGACGAACGAAAATGTGATTCCACAAATTTAGAAGTCACGTTCTATGCTCTCCAGTAAGTCTCCAGTTCATATCTTTAGTCATTCTTGAGAACATTCGCGGACAAAATTTCATTTTAAAATCAGGAAATTGCCCGTAACTTGGAACCAAAATGGAATTTTCCAAATTTTCCTTGTGATGAAACAAGTTCATACAATGACTAATTTTTCCTGAAAGTTTCACGAAAAACCACCGAATAGTTTTCGAGAAAACGCCTGCACAAAATTTGGTCAAAAAAATAATAATAATAATAATAAGAAACAGTAGAATCACTATAAGGTCTTCCGTGAAAACGGAAGACCTTAATAATAAGAAGAAGAAGAAACAATAGAATCACTATAAGGTCTTCCGTGGAGACGGAAGACCTTAATTATAATTTATTTTTTTACACCCCCTCCCAAAAAAAACACCAAGAATACAAAGAATTCTGTTATAAAAATACATGTATAAAAATAATGACTTTGTAAATTTACTTTCTTTTATCAGCATCACCCAGATAACATGAGTGATTCCTCAGGGGAGATAACTGCATCAGATAGTGGACGAGGAGGCAGTGACCTTGACCTCTCACTACATCTACCTAAATCAGGTAAATAAAACAAACTGTGAATATACCACTGTCAAACAAAAAAATGAAAAAAAAAAATTAAAATGATGGTATTAGTTGCCTTTGATGAAATAAGCAATATCAAGATGTTAATGAATTTGTTATATTGTAATTTTCAGACGAAAGACAAAACAGAGGAGATTTCAAACTCAGAATGAATCCAAATCAGGGAACCAGGCCATATGGGAACCAGTATGAAAATATAAACTATGTGAATACTCATCACACAAAGAACAATAATCAAAGGGAAGCAATCCCTGCCAGACCTCCTAGATGTCGCTCAGACAATAAAGTGTACCTTTCTGAAGAGGATACCTCATCAAAGACAGATTGCTTTCCATCCTATGTATAATCAGGGGTAGAAAGTGAACCATTTGACTCAGATGGGTCGTTGTTAAATTGTGCCAAACAATATGTTTACATGTCTCATAGCAACTGTTGTATGTAATCATCTCATTGAAAACCACAATCCATGTTTCTGTACATAAAAGTGATATTATTACATATGTACATGTTACAGTTATATGTGTTCAACTGCTGAACCAGAAGTTTTATTTAAATGACAAGAAGTGCTCTGTACAAAATAAAGTTATATTTGAAATTGTTGTATTATCAATCTTGAAATATGGGTTAGCATGGGAATGTACAATATCAGTATCATGACCCCTGGGGGTAGGGCAGGGCCACAACAGGGTGTCAAAGTTTACCATAAGAATATATAGGAAATACCTTTGAAAATCTTCTTCTCAAAAACAGCAAAGCCATGATTATCAGTCATATTAATACAGAAGTATCCTCAGGTAGTGTAGATTCCAGTTTGTTCAAATCATGACCCCTAGGGTAATGCAGGGCAGCAACAGTGGGTCAAAGTTTAGGGTTAGGGTTATATGAACTTTGAAGTAGAGTAGCATAATGAGGTGAAAATAGTACCTGTATTGTGTAATAATTTAATTTTAGTTGTAACAAGTCATTTGATTGGATAAAAGCTTTCGTTTATATCGTATAACATAAGTTGCCTACGTCACAATGAGTTACGTCAAAAACGTATTACTCCGCTTGATGTTACTTTTAAAATATGCTCAATTTGAAGCCATTTTTGGAGGAAAAAATTGCCTTATTGTCTACACTGAAATTAAATTATAAGGAAAGAAGCTTATTTTAACCTATGTTATACGATATAACATAACTTGGGGCAGTTTACACTTTTTTATGAAGCGGTTTATAAAGCGTAAACTGTCCCAAGTTATGTTATATCGTATAACATAGGTTAAAATAAGCTTCATTCCTTAAATAAATCAACCTGGATCAACCTGGATGCAATTGAAATTAAGTCTAGATAATTTGGGCAAGAAATATGCAACTCAAAACAATTTAACTATGAAGGTAGATATTTTTTTACTGCAATATGCACAATAAATTCAAAACAAAAGAAAATGCCTAAATTGACAAAAGTTCACATTGAACAAATATATTGCTTTATACATCGATAATCTGAATATCATAGAAAATCTTTACTGGATGTAAGTTTTAATAGAAAGTCATAACAGTATGCATATTTTAACAGAAAATCCGAACTTGATGTACGTTTTAATTTCTTCTTTGGCGACGTTTTATCAATGACAGTGCTGCATCTCTAAGGCTGGATCTTCTTATTCCTGTTCCCGCTGACATCACTTCCGGTCTCAAAGCTGTTCCAGACTGAGCTTGAACACCCATTCTAGCACGAAGCTTGTTCATTAAACTTTGGGAGTTTCCTAAAAATGAAATATACAAATATATTTTAACGTATTTCTGTTAACTTACAAGTAATTGTTTTGATTTTTACATATACTGTTTAGTGTGAGATAACATTCTTTGGGTTGTGACGTCATACCTGCTGCTAATTCGTGCATCTGTCCTTGTAAATCGCTTGGTTGGACAGGTTTCTCTGATACATTCATTTGTAATTCCTTAGAAGCCAACTTCTCCTCATTAGTGATCCTTTGCTGCTGCTGCTCTTCGGAAAACTCGATGTTGACGTCGTTAACACTAACGTCATCCGTTACATCGTCTGAAACATCGCTCGACTCCTCACTATCTGTGTTGTTGGACATTAATCGCTGCAACTCCTCTAGTTCATCCTTGTCCCACAGTTCACGGGGGATGGCAATGCAAGAATTCTTTGCACATCTAATAAGCAATATGTATATATATAAACGAAGCACCTGTTTTTCCCTACCTCCTTTTTATCAGTAATACCAGAGATGTTCAGTGTGTGTAGTACCTGTGAAGGTGTGTTCCACCAACGTGATCGTAAAGTTCTCCCATCGATAATGTGTCTTCTGACTGATCGGAGAATCGATCATCGGGAATCACGAGGTTTGTGTGACAACTGGTGCGGTGCAAGAGTGTCCCGGGCTCGTCCTTGGGGCGTAATTCTTGTTCCAAAGTATCATTATGTTTTAACAAAGCCTTTCTTGTGCTCCGGAGTTGTGCTATATCATACTCAATGTCTCTAGACATTACTTGTAAATTAATATTCTGTTAAAATACAAATGCATAAATGCGGATGATATCGTTCTCTTCTTACATACATATGCATGATGACCCTCACCCCACGAAACAAAACAAAACAAACACACAAAATTAACCAACCAACCCCTCCAAAAAAAATTAAAAACAAAACATGCAAATTTTATGTTTTCTTTACGTTTTCTTTAAGTTCCCGAATCTCGCGCTTCATCTCCATGTATTTGATCAGCTCTAAAATTTGTTGATCCTCTGCATCAGCTGAAAGAAAAGAGGGGAGGATCATAAAATTCTTAGCGTAGAAAATATTGTAATAAAAACATGTTCAATAATTGAAAATGTAATGTTACCCGGATTAAGTTGCATGCTGCGCATCTTCAGGAGAGCCATGTTCTGCACATTTTGTATTTCTATCTCATAGTGTCTCCTCTCCTCGCCATATTTCTTGAGGTCTTCTTTTATTTTGTTCTGAAATCCACAAGATTTTTTAAAAGTATAAGGGAATAGCTGGCCCGTTGGAAGCATTTTCTCTTTGAGGGGGGACAACCATACATTTTCAGTTGGGGGGCACTATCAACTACCACAATTCATTGATAAGCAAACAAAAAGTTCATCAGACGTTATTATTGAGGGGGCACAAGCATATAGTACCCATGTTTTCTAAAGTATTCTATATATCGGAAAAATTATTGGGGGGGGGGGGAGGGGCACGTCCCCCCCCCCCCGTTTCCTACGGCCATGAATAATCTTAGTAATGTGAACTGTAGTCGAACGTAGCTCCTAAATCGTATAAGCAGTTCTGTCATATTCCTTACCCATTCATCGTGGTACGAAGATTTCAATTTCTGGCTTGTATCTTTCAATTCCTGAAGACATCGGAGTTTACGGTACAAATCGCAGCGGGTATAATCTGTATAAAAACAAAGTTACCTTATACTTTACCTCACAATTTAATTGTATTTATACCAACAAATAATCAGTTTTTACCATTAAGTCAGAATTAAACTGGTATTATACCAACAAATAAGGTCTAATCAGTTTTTACCATTAAGTCGGAGTTCAGTCTTTTCTTCGTTTGTGAGGTTTTTCTCTATCAGACCCTTCTCCTCTTCTCTGATTTTGGCAGCGCATTGATTAGCTAGCAACTCCTCCTCCTCATTTAGAACCGCTGTTAAAAACAAACAACATATAGGCAGTAAATAAATAAAATGCAAAATTATTGAAGGCAGATACCCAAAATAATAATCTATTTTCATTAAAGCGAATAACTTGAAGAGTTTTAAACAACCTTTTTCTTCCTGCAACCTGTTGATTTCCTGGTCTGACCTATGACCTTCTGTCCTGTACGCCAATATTTTTTTCCTTAGCTCCGACATAGTTCCCAAAAATTCGGACATGCTTGATGACAGAATGGAGTGGCAGTCCTTCATTTGAGTAAGCTTACTCTCCCGCGCCTGGAGGCCAGACAGTAAATAAGAATTGTTCGCCCGCAACTGATTTAGATCCACCCCTAAATCTCCGACCTTTTGACGAATTTCATCATCATCTATTTGATCTGTTTGGGTCTCTATAGAGTCCTGTGTATCCTCAATGCTGCAAGCCATTGCGGACTGTTTAGGTATTATGACGTGAGATTTGATATTGACGTCACAGATCCATTGTTATGACATTTAATTGTGACGTCATGGAAATGTGGTATAGAGGGACTTGGAAGTTGAAAAAAGTGTCCAGTTACTCCAACTGCCCCTTATGGTTTGAAAGAATATAACTTGTTTTGTATATAAAAGCCTCCTTTTACAATATATTAAATAAATGATACATAATGCAAGTCTATTACTGATTTATGAAAAGGGGGTAGAGTGACGCTGAGAGGAGTGCTCTCTCTCTCTCTCTCTCTCTCTCTCTCTCTCTCTCTCTCTCTCTCTCTCTCTCTCTCTCCTCTACCAGGATTTTTTATTAATGAGTATAGGTTTGGTGAATTCTAACATATTGTCTTTCTGACATACTTTCTATTTATCAATAAAAATATGCATTATGACTAAAAACCGAGTGCGCATTCACTTTTGCGCATTACCTACCTTTTTGGAAGTTTTTACTTATATGGTTAATTTTCACACTTTTCGGACAATTTAGCTTTTAATTCTAAATTCTGATTGGCTAATATCTACAACCCGCAGTGTGGGTCTCCGTATGGAAAGTGGCCCGACTCTCGGTCATTCCATGCAGAGACGCCACTGAATAAAGACTTAAACTTATATTTGAATCATTTTCATTTGGGTTGTAGGTATGTAGCACATTTTATTAGATATCTATCTTTAATTTCTTTTACTTTTATAAAACTTATTTTCTAAATTTGAGCTAAGATTGGTTAATATTAAATACTTTATAATTGGTATAAAACGATTGATAGGTGAAATAATTATTTTAATGTCTGATTATGTAGTTCAAAGTTTCATTATTTTTGCTAAGGAAATGTCTATCCTTTGTGCTTTTTATATGCGCCTGTTTACCTTTTTATATCTTACTGTCGTTTAAATGCTTTATCTTGATTAACTGAAAAATCTCCGGAAACTTGTCAAATATTTTACATCATGTTTGAATTTAGCGCCCTTGTTTATTTTTGGAACTCTTTAGTCAAAGAAGTTTAATTTATTTTTAGTAATTGTCAAAATACATTTCGGCATGTTGTTTTCCATTTCTTGTAAGTAAATAACAAGCGATCACTATGGAACGCCATAGCTGCCTGAAGGTCATTTTCATATTATATGAGGTGGAATAACCTTTATGTGAAGTGGTGAAGTCATTATATATAGTGGTAAAATCATTATATTCAATGAAAACTTTATTATATGCAGTGGTTTTATCATTATATACAGTGATAAAATCATTATATACAGTGATAAAATCATTATATACAGTGATAAAATCATTATAGTCAATGAAAACTTTATTATATGCAGTGGTTTATCATTATATACAGTGATAAAATCATTATATTCAATGAAAACTTTATTATATGCAGTGGTTTTATCATTATATACAGTGATAAAATCATTATATACAGTGATAAAATCATTATATACAGTGATAAAATCATTATATTCAATGAAAACTTTATTATATGCAGTGGTTTATCATTATATACAGTGATAAAATCATTATATTCAATGAAAACTTTATTATATGCAGTGGTTTTATCATTATATACAGTGATAAAATCATTATATTCATTGAAAACTTTATTATATGCAGTGGTTTTATCATTATATACAGTGATAAAATCATTATATTCATTGAAAACTTTATTATATGCAGTGGTTTTATCATTATATACAGTGATAAAATCATTATTTTCATTGATAACTTTATTGTATGCAGTGGTTTTATCGTTCTGTGATGTGATAAATTCAATATATACAGTACAAACATAATTTGTGTGATAAAGCAATCATTACACTGTATGAAACCCGCTGCATGTGGAGTGCCAAGTTAATTTCATTCAGTGCGACACCTTTACATGAAGTGAAAAATCTATTATGTGCAGTACTAAGATCATTATATTATATGGTAAAATTATTATATATATTCCTTAAATCATGCTTTGCAGTAGTAACATCTTTATATGAGGTGGTTAATTAATTATATGATGTTGTTAATTTGTTATATGATGTGCTCAAATCTTTATATGCATTAGACTTTTCATGTTATGCAGTGGTAACTTCTTTATCATCATCTAAACTGGTCCTTTTATTTAAAAAAATGCGCGGAGTTCCAGTTTAAAGAGTGTTTGAAAATAGGAAACCCGGGCCGTGGCAAATTAAAAGCCGGGACTATTCGAGATTTTTCTAATTTCTGATTCTATTATACAGCTTCCTGATTTTATCAACTGTGCTGAAATTTTAAGACTCATTTTTATAGGTTAATGTGTATTCGCTGTAAAAATTGCATTTAATTTTAAAATACTTAGTAATTTAGATTTTCTTGGCGATTGTTGATTTCCAAGTTCAGTGGTGGATCCAGGAATCTTGAAAAGGGGGGCCCGACAAGTTTTTGGTCGGGGTAGGTAGCCCACAGCCAACCAAAAAACAATTGATTTATTAAATCTTATGTATATTTTGGACACAAAGACCCAAGGGGGGGGGGGGGGCATAGGCCCTCTCTGAATCCGCCCGTGAGGTTGGTAAATCGGGTAGGCAATCAAGTAGACATTTTACGTGTTTTGTTTGTTTGTTTGTTGTTTTTCGTTTGTTTTTTTTTTTTTTTGTTTTTTTTTTTTGTTTTTTTGCCATATTTGACAGAAAGCTAATAAACTTTTAAATTATTCTGATGTTAAAAATTATTCATTCTTTGAAAGGAATTTTTGAGTGAAATGACACGTTTAAGAAAAACCGGTTCACATAGGCGTCGGAACCGGGGGGGACTATTGCCCCCCCCCTTTTTTTTTTTTACAAAGGTAGACATAATATAGGCATTGAAAATTCGGGCGTAGGTCTAGCCTCCCCCCTCCCCACTTTCTACAGGCACGATTCATTGTAGTGAAAGAAGGGTAATAGGTAGTGTTTAAAAGAATTTGGTACTGAAAGATGTTCGACCAACCCCCCAACCCCCACCCACACCCCCGAAATAGGATTTTCGGGTTTGGAGAAAGAACAATTTTCCTTTTTTTTTTTTGCTTGTCAAGTTTTTTTTCAGTTTTGATTTTTTTTCTATTTCAATTAGCCACCCTACTATCAATTTCCTTCCGACGCCAATGGTTCATTAAAATCGGATTTGATCTCCCGGAAGTCAAACATAAAAAATCAGAAATACTTATTCATTATCTACATGCCATTTGATAAAATATAAATTAATTAAAGAATTATCACATATACATGTAATTATAGGACTATTAATGCAAAGCCTTGTGTCAAACTTTAATCACGCGTAAGTAGCTTGGTTTAAGGATATCCGATCCTCAGCCTTGAAGGATAACTCTTAATTTTATCATTTTATTCAAAAAGGCTAAAATGATTTTAATTTGGTTGTTTGTTTGCTGTTTAACGTCTCTCTCGAGAATTTTTCACTCATATGGAGACGCCACAATTTGCCAGTGGAGAGCTGCAAATTTTGTCCTATACTCGGCACTTACGGCCATTGAGCAGTAAGGGTTTTTTTTTCGTGCCAACACCTACTGTGGCACGGGACCTCGGTTTATGGCTTTATGCGGTCTCTTACGAAGGACCGGTCTCAACGTCCCACTGTCGGATTCGAACCCGTGACGTAAGGATTGACTCCTTATTCCGCGTCTCTTAGAGCAGACACTCTAATCACCGTGCCACGTTGGCGACGGCAAAGATGAAACTTGAAAATGAAATGTTTTCATGCAGCAATTTTTATTTTAAGCATTTCAATGTGATTTAAGGTTTTCTGAAGTCTTAGAAACAGTCTTATAAATAATTGATATTAGTAATTTACCCCCCCCCCCCCGGAAAAAAGTATTAAACAAATTACATATTTAACGTAATCCAGTTTCCTTCCATCTACTAGCATATAGATACATGTACCAGTGAACATTTGCATATTATGAAATTAGAAATGATTTATGGTGTTTTGCACCAGGTTCTTCCCGGATGATCGGATCTGGTTTAATAATCCTTTTTTTAATGAAAATGTGTATTTTGCATAAAAATAGCATTTTCAAATGAAGAAATTACTATAAAAAGAAATAGTTTTTTTTAGTTAAAATACAGTGTTTAACATCGGAATAATTTTTAAGTTTATTAGATTTTTATCAAATATGTCAAAAAAAAAAAAAAAAAAAAAAAAAAACACACACACACACACACACATAAAATATCGCCAACCCAGTCTACCCATTTTACAAACATGGAAATCAACAATCGCCAAAAAAAAAAAAAAAAAAATCTAAAATACTAAGTACTTATAGCACAATAGATAAAATATTAAATCAAAAAATTGAAACTGCCAACCAATTTTACTTGAAACCAAAAATCGTAAAGAAAATCTAAAATACCAAGTATTTAAATACAATTTTTACAGGGAAAACACATTAGGTTAAAAAAAGAGTCTGAAAAAATCTCGAATAGTCCCGGCTTTTAATTTGCCACGGCCCGGGTTTCCTATTTTCAAACACTCTTTAAACTGGAACTCCGCGCATTTTTTTTTTAAATAAAAGGACCAGTTTAGATGATGATAAAGAAGTTACCACTGCATAACATGAAATGACTAATGCATAAAAAGAATTGACCACATCATATAACAAATTAACAACATCATATAATTAATTAACCACCTCATATTAAGATGTTACCACTGCAAAGTATGATTTTAGGAATATATATAATAATTTTACTATATAATATAATGATCTTAGTACTGCACATAATAGGAATTTATTACTCAAAAACCAGATGCACAGTAAAATCAATGCTACTCTGTATCTTTGATTTTAGAAACGTACTTTCGTATCTATTACAGGTGTATAACTATTACTTTCAGATGTTCAAATGTATAGCCAACCAGAGTATGAAAAGCTCAATGCATGTATATTTTTGCTTGCAAATTATTCGTCTACTATTATTATTGTCTGGCGACATTGAAACCAACCCTGGTCCGAATGGTGTTCTTATTCATAGTTTAGATATTTTTCACC